CCCCAAAACCCCAAAACCCCAAAACCCCGTATAAAGGGTTTGGGGATGAAAGAATATATTTAATAGTTTAGGAAGTTGAGAAAATGATAGTTTAGGGTTGGAATGCAATATTTTGGATTATGGCCTCAGATTGTGGAATTTTGACAAAAAAGCATTTATTATTCTGGACAGACTTGGAATACAACAAGGAGTTATATCGCTTCAAATGTTGTGTGAGTGTAAAAATTGACATCCACTTCTACATATATAAATGGCATAAAGATAGATGTCAGTAAGTCAAGTTTCAACTTATCTTAAAAACTTATCAATAGATTATGCAACAAACGCTGACATTCATAAAGATTATTGAATGTCTTAGAGAAGACTTTATTACAAGTGATCAAATGCCCGTTAAGAATTCAGTTATATGAAGGAATAAAATCCTCTAAGTATTTTGATTTCCTTTACCTTTAAACTTCAAAATATCCCATTCAAATATGTTTATATAACAGTGTTCGCTAACTCTTCAGCTTATGATTATTACAAGGAGGGTTCTATGAGCACTGGAGGCACAAAGACAGTGTCTATAGATTGGGACTCTGCGGTTTACATTGTAGTTCACCCTACCTCATCTAGCAATGCTATAGATATTGACTATAAAGCAGTAAGAACAGCAAAGTAAGATTTTGATTACCTTTGTATAGAACAGTGAGTGTAGGAGCAGTTATAGGGATTGTCCTCGGAAGTATTTGATGTTTCATCATAATTATTGATGGAATAATTGGTACAGCTGTATTCTGCTCTATCAAGAAAGCTCAAATGGATTTAAGAAATCAAGCCGAAACCAATAATGGGGCAGCTACTGCTGTTCAAATCAGTCCACAGCCTCAAATAATCACTGATCCAGCTCCTCAGCCTCTTTATATGACTCGTAAGGATTTATGATTTCCTTGAGAATCAATATAAGCTAGCTTTCTAGACTAATCTTTGTTTTGAAAGAATTTTTATTATAATGCACTCTGCTCCAAACATCGGTTCAAAGTAAGTCCCCTCTCCCTATACCCCTTCCGCATAATCTACGACCAGACCAACTCTCTTCAGCCCCAAATAGGATTGCCCTCTTCCAGCCACATGGGCGAACACCCATAACGATAGGTATGCTTATGCTAATCCTTGTCTAGGAAGTCCAATAGCTCCTGATCCTGAAGCCAAAATGGGGTAAATGTATTTTCAAGCAGATAAGGACTTAGTGGGGTTTTGGGGTTTTGGGGTTTTGGGG